TCTTCTTTTCCTTCGAATATTTTCAATACCCCACTTACAAAAGGCGAACAGAGACTTTTCGTTAATAGTTGAGTGAATTTTCTACCCAATAATAATGGTGTCCCTTCTAATTTTATTACTTGATCTTTGTGTAAACTACCCGATATGGCCCCACTTACTAAGACAATGTCATGTCTCCTAAACATTCCAAAATCAAAATCTATAATATAAAATTTGTAATTCCTATCCATATTGTAAAAAGTTGTAGTAAAAATATCAAGAAATCAGTCAAAATTACAAGTTAGTTTTATGAGTTTTACCTGTAAAAGATAAAATTTATTAGCTTAAATTAATATTAGTGTAGTTTGTATGTTTCATAAGAGCAATAAGTTAATATAAGATAAGTATTTAGAATTGTTTCCTTGGAACTGGAGGTGGCACTAAAATCATATCCATTTTTATTATTATAGGATATATTTTGCAACACATAAAAATTATGACCAGTGATAATATTGTCAGCCATGATAGATATATTATATCCCCAAGAAATTCATCTATAAAAGGTTGTGATATTTGTTTTAAAATGATGTCATTAAAGTACTTCTCTGGATTTGGTATTTGTTTTGTAGTGTGAAAATTTGGTATTTTATTTACTCAGTCTCTGTCTAAGATTTTGTTAAGTTTGCAAAATATATTTTTTCCCTCTGTTCCTCGTGCTGTATTTTAAGTGACTGTATATTAGTCCATGATATCGGAATTACACGTCTAATTAATAATTTACCTACATTATTTATTTCGCATGGGTACAATTTGGGTATAAGTATTTCATCATTTTTTAATAATTCTTGATTACATGGTAAGGTTAGTTTTATTAGACCAGGGTAGTTGTAATTTAGTGTTAAGTTAGTTTGAGTAGTGTTATTAGTGTTAAATGTTCGAATTTTTAAAATTGGGAGAGGGTTAGTTATTGCAAATGTATTTATTCCTATTTGTTTAATTATTACAGATTCGACTTCTTGTTGATTAACACACTGGAAATAACAATATTTATTAGGTTTATTAAGCGATAAATTTTTGAAAATAGCTTCTACGCATTTTGGTGTTAACGTAATATCAGTTGAAAATTTTGGAATGAAACAAAATACGGGCGGATCGCAGTCTCTTAAGGATAGGCCTGATATCAAACGGTGTTCGTTGTTAACTGAATTGACTGCGATATAAGTTTTTTCTGAATAGATGAGACATATAGAATCGTTAAATTTGAAATGAGCAGGTATATATTGGAATAATTTCCAATCTGCAAAGCTCTCTTGTATAGGAATTTGTATTTTTACTAATATTTGATTTTCTGAAAATTGATATTCTGTAATAGGTAAATTGTAATAAACTGATAAGTTACTTATAGGAATTACTAACGCATAACCATCTTTTTTAATAACTTTTTCGAGTTTTATGAGATCAGTATAAAGGATTTCAGAGTTGATTATTCTAGGTGGAATTTTGTATAATTTACAGTGCAGATGAGTGCTTGAGTCCCTTTCGTTGTTAGTTAAACTTAGTAAGGCTATTAATATATCATGGACAACCTCCTGAATACCTAAAAATTTATTTTCAGTTTTGGTGGTTTCTATTAAGTTGTTATTATTGCTTTCATGTTTAATCAATCCCTTAAATGAATCTCTTAACATATCAAGTTTTGAATTAGTACTCTTTGCGTAAGAATTTAGTTCTGAAGTTATGTTTGTTAAGTCAGAATGGTCCGAGATAAATGCGTCTTTAAATGTATTAATTTGTTCTTTTAGTGCTAATTCATTAGTATAAAATTGTTTAAGTTGTTTGTCAGTAGTGATTTTGATATAATATTTTATAAGAAGCTTTTATTTTTGTTATTTTTTAAAATATAAAATAGTTTTTTGTATATTAGATATTTTGGACAATCCTATTATAAAGATTTGTTTTTTGTGTAAAGGAAACTTGTGCCAATATTTTTATTTATTTGAAAATAGTTACTATTTAATTACTTAGGTTATGTGTAAGGCTATCCCTCATAGATTTAAATGTGCTTTTTGGTGGTGGATTTGTTTAAAAATCTTGTTAATTTAACAAGTAACAATAAACTAGTCAGATGATTATTTTGTTTTATATAAAACTTGTTAACTTTTTACTGGTAAAAATTTTTAAACTTAATAATTTGCATTTATTTAAAATTTTAACTATTCAAAAATATTATATCAAATAAAAGGAAATTATTTAAGGTTTTAATACAACAAATTATTTTGATTTGTTCATTTTGAATGAACAAATTAAATGATAATTAAATGATACCCAAATTCGAACAAAGAAACTCTCAAAAGAAAATATCCCCAATAATAATTTTTTAAAAGTACTAACATTGTAATTCTAATTTCTTTAAAATTAAAATAAGCATGATAAAATTATCATTTCCAGTTGGTATTTTTTAAATTTGTTGTGTATTACCATAAACAGGATTTAACTACAAAAATTTTAACCAATAATACTCATATATTTTGTAAAAATAATTATTAATCATGAAAAAACAATAAAACGATCGCCCCAATGAAAATTTTACTCATTACTTTTTTTTTAGACAATTAAAATTTGAACAATTTCTATATGAAACATTACTTCTTATTATAACCGGTTCGTCAGATATGATGCAATATTCGTAAATATCCCAATTTCGACAGTTTCGCAAAATAATACTTATTTTGCAATTTTTCTAGAAAATTAGTGGGTTTAGAAGAAAAATTATAGAAACTTAAATTATACAAAACATTTATATCTACAATTTATTTTCTATACATTTTTTTGTGAAAGCACTAATTTACGAATCAATGGCAAATAACTGAAAAACTACCCCTTTAGCTAATTTTCAACCCCAAGTCGGTACGGGTTAAACTTGTTCGATCGACCTGAATTTTTTTGTGTTCTTTTTTATATGTATACATATAAATTTGAAGGGTATGCACTAAGCATTTCCGAAACTTTTAAATTTTAGAACACCTTAATATATATACGTCATTATGTGTCAAACTGGGTGTTCCTAGTCCAATTTGATCACGTGGAAGAGAGTTGTCAGGAAGAGTCAAAATAATAACTAATTATAATATAACATTCATTGATTTAACACTGACCACCGAGAAGATGGTCAAGTCCCCTTTTATATTTATATTGTTCATTAAATAATTATTAAAATATTAATACTATAATACTTTCTAGCGTTACAATTAAAGTATTTGACAGTATAATTCTACTCTCTAGTAATTATAATGTTACATATAAATTCCTTGAAACTAAAATTTACAAAATAATCATAGGTTCACGATAATTAGGTGATAAGGTCACTATGAGTATAAAAGAGGATTTTTTCTGGTCGGAGTGTCAATATTTCTTTAGCTTTGATAATGGGGGCATTGTTTCCGAAATACGTATCTGCGTTTTTTTAATAATACTTTTTCTGTCTTTTTGAGTTAAATTTGATAAATTGTGATAATATTTAAATATAATAACTATCGTTTAACGCAATTATGGTGTTATAATGTTTTCATTGGTTTTACAACTAAATTATTGATCATTATTAACCACAATATTATGACTATATGAACTGTAAGTGTGATTGCTTTATCCGAACATTTCGGTAAATACTTCTATAATTTCCAAACGATTTGATTCAATTATTCTAACTTAACATACTTGGTAGAATTATCAACTGAGATAGTTGGCTTTACTATAGTATGGTTTTCTCATTTTTAAAATACCTCTGAAATAGAAATGTGTGACAATATTTCATAACAAGGATTTTAGTTTTGATTGTAGAAATAGTGATTTTTTAGTTTAGAATGAACTCTTTTTTTTTTCCAATAAATAAAGTTTATAAAGTTTTTTATATCATTTTAAAATGGAATAATTTTAATTTATAGAAAAAAATGTAGTCTATTATCATTTGATAATACATTTTTCATGTCAAACAAAATTTAGGACCGTCCTGAATTTTGTTTACCGATTAGTATGTTTTGGAACTATATTATACCGATTAATATTTTCCTTGTCAATGTCTATTAATCCAAAGTCCTTCGCGTCATCTCCAAAGCTCCCTTCTATGTTTCAAATGATACCCTTCATTCCGACTTCAATTTACCCACCGTCACTAAACTAGCCAAGCTCCACTACAAACGATTCAATAACAAGTTAACACATCATTCCAATCCCCTTATTGTCCAACTATCATCTGCAACTATTCCAGGAAATCCCCACAAAAGATTAAAAAGACAGTGGTGTCGTGACCTACTTTTATAATTTAAAAAAAAAAAAATGTATATGTATCAATCCAACTTATTATCACTATTATTAATATTATGTTAGGACTAATACCTTAAATTTAAATTAATATTCATGTTGAAGTACCTCCGATGGGAGGTCTCTTCACTTAGTCTCTTCTGTCTTCTGTCTTCTGTTTTTTTTTCTTTTTATGTTATCACTTAAGCTTATTGTTCAATATTGTAACAGATAGCGTAATAATTAAAATTTTGTTAAAAAAAAAAAAAAAATGTCTATTAACGTGTATACAGTTCTTCCAAAATAATTTTTCAATAAATATTTCCCTCAGAAATATTAGTCTTTAAAATACCGTTCACAGGGATATTTTCTCAGTAAATATTTTATGAAGTAATGAGATTCTGAAAAAATATTTATTTTAGATATTGTTTATTATTAATTATGACGTATAATTTAATTCCTGGTAAGTATTTTCCTGATTTGTATAGCCCTCTACTCAATAGTATATTTATTTAGATAAATAAAAGCGAAACGTTGTTAGATCTACCTTTATTCTGTTGATCTATTGTCGGTGATGTCTATTATTTTGATATTTTAGTTCTATCCACTATTATAGATAAGTGTTATCTATAATCGTGGTGCTATCTATATAAAGTATTAGTGTTGTAGTGAAGCATATAATCGCTTACATGGTTACGTTTACTACAAGATCGCGTATTCTGGCCAAATGTCGCATCCACAGATATGTAATCATTTATATGGATTTATAGTTTCATCTTCCCACACGTATTAATAGGACATGAACTGCTATACATTTACCTTCTAACATCCCCTCTATCTTTCTCGTGTCCATATGACCCCGGCCGGCCTATTTTTTATCAGCTTTGCCAAAGTATGAATGATATAATATCAATTATGTAAACAAAATCTTTATACCTTTTATTTCTGTGGCCATAATAATAATAATGAATAAACTATTAGATATTTAACTGTCAAGCAGAAATTAAGCTAATATTTAATTTAAGTTTATAGTTACAACTTTTTTGAAATCGAGTCAAAAATTTTTAACACTAAGGAAGTATGTAAAGATTCATAGATTTGTAATGTTTTCAACAAATTTTAGTTTTTAAAATCAAATTTTATTGACTGATAATTAAATAATTGTATTATGTACATTTTTAACAGAACTATTTTTTAAATTTTTATATGAATTTTAAACTTTTAAATATAATTGTAATATGTGATTTGGAATTATTATAAAGTTTTATTTTGCAATGAAACAACAACCAAATCATAGAGCCTTTGCTTCTTTAAAAACTGGAGTTTCTACTAATACTAATTCTAATAACAATGGAGTTTTGTCCTCGCCATCATCAACTTCACTGTTATCTTCAAACTCTTCATCATCATCCTCAACTACATTACTCGCTCCAACACAACAGAATACTACATATGGAGGATCATCATTAGTTATAAATCAGAATAATATTCAATCATATTATATACAGTGTCATAAAACATCAAAAAAAATTAATTATAAAAAAAAATTGAAACCCCCAAAAGTATTTATAATAAAACGTAATATACGTACATGTAGTCTTTCTATACCGGAACAAAATCTGTAAGTTAATTAATAGTTTTAAGTACTATACACTGTCATACAAGAAGTGTCAAGAGAGTTTTTATGATGTTTATATTTCTTAGTATTACATAGTATTGCTCTTTATGTTCTTGAAACACATTATTCTTCATTTATAAGAATGTTTTTAAAAATGTTATTAGTCAAATTTTTAACTGCTTTAAAATTAAATGTCAAAATATATATTATTTATTAGTAATATATTTAATACAATTTTAAGTAAACTTTTTCTCATAAAAAAATAAAGCAAATATTTTTCTTGACTCTATTTGAATGACAGTAAACATACAGTATTTCAATTTTTTTATAATTGATAATTAATTGGTTTTTAACTTAGCTTGGATTGTGCTCGACATGTCCGTGAAATGGTTAACACTTATACAAGAGATTGGCTGGTTGTAGATTTGTTTGATAGTGATAATATTAAAGATATAAGCAAATTACAACACAATTTTGGATATTCTTCTGATCATAGTGATTCATCATCTGATAATACATCATCAAAAAGTTTAATTGTATATGATGAAGAAGTTATTACATCAAATAAAACATCAACAACATCACTTCACAGGGCAGCTTCTGCTCCATCAGCTCCATATAATTTACTTTCAGCAGTTTCGTCTTCTAAACATTACAATTCAAATGCACATCCCAAACAACCTCTCCCTGCACCATCAGGATTAAAAAATAATTGTCCAAGTGCTAACTCTACCATGATACCACCTTTGTTGGATGATGTATTGCATTATGATAAAAATTTTAAACAAAAACAAAACTTGAATAATAATTTAAGACAAGTAAGTTTATTTTTAATTATATTGATGATAAATAATTGTTTTTATTTATCATATTTATATATTAATTTGTACTCTTTGTTTATTATGGAAAATATATTTAAAATAAATGAAAAGTTACTCATCAATAAAAGATATTTTTCAAACATTTTCAGATAATAATTATCTGAAACTGCTTTTAAAATTAAAACTATATTAAAAATATTATTAATTTAAAACTAAAAATATTTAACTCAAAAAGCCATAAAAAAGTTACTTTAAAATCTTGAGTTAAATTTTTTTTAGTTTTAAATTAATAATATTTTTAAGATGGTTTTAATTTTAAATAATATTAGCCACAATGATCAATTTTTACTATAAAAATGTTTTTTCATAATAAAGACTATCAATCAAATTTTTTTTAAATACTGTATTTTCTTTGTAAGCTATAGAAATTATATCAATTATAATATTGTAATTTTTTCAGCGTACAAAGTTATTTTCTCTTTATAAAATTGAAAATTCTAACTTTAGTGCCAACTCTTTCACAAACATTCCATCAATACCATGTGATTATACAGGCATGCATCACTTTTGTCGCTTACTTGTTGAATGTATTCAATTAGAATGCAGTGACACTGGAACAACTCAACAAGATTCTATATCTGGTTATGTTACATCAGATTCACTTACATCTCAATCGTCAAATGGAACTAATCAAAGTACTTTGAGTATTCAAAACCTTTCTGGTCATATGGCACTTTATGATTTACGGACAAAGCGAAAATTAACTGAAAACTATTATTTAAACTTGCATAATCAAAATTCAGTGATTCGTCATCAAAATGCATGTGTTATTGATATTCCTAAAAATAGTAAAAATAATGCAGTACATGGCGAAGATTTGTTTTTAGTGATTAGATTGGAAAAGCCCCTTCAGGGAAAACAACGCAATGAAAATAGTATATCACATACAACCAGTTTGGATAAAGCTTCTGTACACTATAAAACTCCATATGCTTGGACTGCAGTTCATCTTGCTGATGTATTTGGAACAAATCACAAAAGCTCTTCATCCATGGACAGTTTAGACCGTAATAATGTAAATTTAAATTCAACAAATAGTTTAGGTAATTATTATATATTTTTATAACAAAATACTACAAACAAATTTTAAGAGCTGTTATTAATTTTCAATATACTTCAGTTTCTTTGTATTTATTAAATATGTATCTTGAAAAATTGTTATTTTTTTAGATAGTAGATTTGGATTAGGTGAGTTTGAAAGGTTTCGTAAAAAATGGTCAGGACCAAGTGGACAAACAGATCATCATTTAGTGACAGCAACAATGGTACAACATCGAGGCTCTCTTGACCGCCGCTCCAGCAATCAGTCTTCAATTATCCCTAATGAAAACTCTATAAAAAACATAGAAACAACAGCTACTATGGATCGTTTAATTAAAAATACAAATAGTAAACAAAGAAGGTATAGTTGGTCAGAAGAAGATTTCTTGTGTAACTCTGGTAGCGTTCAAAATATTAGTGATAGTACTCATCATTGCCGAAATTTTCGTTATCCTACAAGTGTTGACAATAATATTCCTGATTTTAGACCACTTACACTCACTATAAATGGATTTTTTAAACAAGTAAAGTATTTTTTTTACTAAATTAGATTCTTAATTTTTACTTTTATTTAAATAAAATATTCTAACATAATGAACTCATTAAACAGTAATAAGACTAAAAACAAACCAATTTATATAAAAATAAAAAGAAGTTCCATAAACAATATTTCTGTAGTCATTAATCTAATAGAAATATAGAATAAGTAATAATAAGGAAATAAAATTAATTTAATTTAAATTAAATCTATATAACTATAAATAGCTATTTCGTAAATTTATGTAGGTAACTTTACTCCAAGATTAGGTTATCAAATATACTTATTACAATACTTTTCAGAGTATTGGCATATTTATTTGAAAGTAAATTCAATAAAATATTATTAAAATATATCACATTAGTAATTATTATTCTATGCTTTCAATATTGCAATATGATATCAAATTAGAGTAATTTTAAAGTTGAAAAAAAATTTTTTAATCTAATTATTTAATTTTAATGTTCAAATTATTTAGTTTTACTGCTAAAACTTTCTAGGAAACTGACAAATTAAAGGACGAAGATCTTTACAAATTGTTACACGAATTAAAATGTCAAACATGGAGTGGAAATACTGGGGATCAATATTCTAGTAATATTTCTGGAACAAGTTGTCATTCAGGAACTTCATCATTATTATCTAACAACACTTCATCACCTGGTGGTATTGGTATTCTAGCATCAAAAAAGCTTAAGAATCTCAACCCCACTAATCACAATGGAAGTTCACCAACCTGTATTAAATTAGATATTTCACTATTTTCTACTGAAGATAATTCTTTAGAAAATGTGTTTACTTCTGATCTATTACCTTTAGCTAGTAAAAATAAGCATTGTAATAAGGAATTAGAAAATGAAAAGACAGCATCCATAGTGAGGGAACTTTTAGAATTTCCTTTTATTATTCATTCAATATCAAATAGTAACCCTACAACTATTGATATTACTACACCAAATTATGTATATAGAAATCTTCTATTTATTTATCCTAAAGAGCTCAATTTAACAAGTCGTACTGGTTCAGCAAGAAATATTACTGTAAAAATTCAATTAATGTGTGGAGAGCAACAGCCTGTAGATGCTATGTATGCAATATTTAAAGGGGATGGAGGTTATATTGAAAATAATTCGAAAAATTGTTTTACCAATGAAGCATATACTTCAATAACTTATCATCAACGTTGGCCCTCTTTTTATGATGAAATTAAAATAAAACTTCCTGCTGATATACATGGACGTGGAGGTGATGGAATGGACAAAAATGGAAGTAAAAATTATCATTTATTATTTACATTTTATCATGTAAGTTGTAGTAAAGGTAAAGATGGAGATAAAAAAACTAGTGTTGGACAAAATTCACGTTTGGAAACTCCAGTTGGATATACTTGGCTACCATTATTAAAAGATAGAGCATTGGTAGAAGGTGAATACAGTTTACCAGTTGCTTTACATCCTATTGATCCTATACTGGCAAACTACTCATATATAACTGCTGATGTAGCATTACCTGGTATTGAATGGCTAGATAACCATAAACCACACTTTGTTGTTTATTTAAAACCAGTGTCATCAATACACCCTAGTGATTCAGCTCTGAATAGTTTCTTTTCTTTCTGTAGTTTATTAGAACCTTTGATGAATAATGGAGGTAATAATGATAAATTACCAAGAAGATTAGCAGAATCTAATATCGAAGCAGAACTAAAACACAGGTATACTTAAAAACATTTATAGATGTTAAAAAAACTCATCATTAATCAATAATTTTATTTCAGAATCACTAACCTAACCAAAGCTGCAATGAGACCACTAGTTCAATACATTCATGTTGTATTAGATAAACTCTTTACATTATTAATAGAGCCTCCTAGGTGTATGAACAGTACTGGGACAATGGATATTGGTTCTTCTGTATTTCATACATTACAACAACTAATTTCGATGATTACAAAAGTGAGAAAAATTTCTGTACTTTTGAGGCAAAAATGTGTGATATCTGATGTTAATGTAGCTATTTTAGTCAAATTTTATAAGTAGGGTGCAGAAATATATGATCTTATAAATTTTGCTAAATACATACACATACAGTATGTGTTTAGCACTGATGATGGTAACATTGTTCCTGAAATATAATATGCAAATTTTTAGTAGTTTTTATGGCTTTTGGAGTTAAATATTTTTTTTATTTTTTAGTTTTAAATTAATATTTTACATATATTTTTAATTTTAAAGCATAAAAATATTTTTAGTTTTAGAGGAGATAAACACCTTAATCCCTAATACTATTATCTCCATAATAACATATTACTAAGTTCAAAAGTTAAAATTTATAAGGCCTGATAGTGTATTTGAAATAACTTGACAAAATTTATAAATGCATATAATTCCACATCATAGTTATAAGAGATACAAAATTGTAAAGATTATTGAAAATAATTGTTAATGATCTTGTAAAATTATATTTGTTCATATAACAGTTTTTGACAAAATTATCTACCTAATAATAATACTTAATTTTTTTACAATTATTTGTTAAAATGCTATCAAAATTTTTATTATAGGAACAAAATGGAAACGAAATATTACAAAGCTATATTAAGTATCATTATTGTTGTGTTATTTTAACAAAAGAAGAAAGTGATGGAATAGGATTAGAAAATTACTTTGATTTAGAAAAAATATCTGTTGATTCTTTATCAACAGATTCATCACCTTTAATAGATAAGGAAATTGTCTCTTCATTTAGTGATTCAGTTTTTAAAGCATATAGTACATCTTTAAAAAAAAAGTCTGGTAATATTTTTATTTTTAATAATTTAATATTCGTACTTAAGACTTATTATGAATTTTATTGTAGAAAATATTATTAAAACTAACAATCCTCATCATAATGAGAAAATTAAAAAATGTGTCACAGCATTAAATAAACTACAAACTCTTCAACAATGTATCATTGAACAATGGACTTTATGTACTGATGTGCGTATAGCAGCAGCCACCGATTCTACTTTTTTTTTTGATGCTATAGTTAAATGCATTGCACTAGGAGTAACATTATGTTATGATGAAAATCAAATAAATAAGACACCTAGCATTGCAAAATTCACTGAACAATTTTTGCAAGATTTACATGTTATCTTAATTCACTTTTATAAAAATATTGCTGAGTGCATTACTACTTTGGACAGTGGCAATAATTATTTAGATCGTATCAAATTACTCAATAAAAACATTGCAAAATTTTTAAAAGATTTACTAGTAGTTTTTGTTAGTGATGATAATGGATTAAAGTATGTATATGGATTAATTGAAGAATATATTTCCATAATGGCTACTAAACAAAAATTAAATAACAATAATGGGAGACCTTATTCAATTCTATCAAGTTTAAAGGTATAGTTGATATTAGTTTTATTTTTGTATACGTTTATTTAATTACTCAATAATACATCAAAATATTAGACCTATATATAAGAAAAAAAATGTTAGAACAGTGGGGTTGTAGCACAGTATGGACGTGGCATAGTTGGGTCCAGTATACATGATATCTGACAGTGATTAAAATCTATATCATTAAAAACGCTTCAATGCAAATCTGTAGATAGTGATTAATTTTAAGAAATTGGTAGATTATTCCAAAAGCTAGATTAACTCCAATTTTTTATTCTACTTCAACTGTCATGTGCACATAGAAGTTAGGTCGTCAGGACAAATTTTTTTTTTTAACTTATAGTACGTAACATAAGATTTAATTTAACATATATTTAAAAGATAGTATTACTGGAACATTTTCAAAATTTAAGTTGAAAAAGTTCTACTTTTAAAACATATTTTTCAAGTTGAAAATATAAAATCGAACATTTTAACACAAAAATAGCATGTTTTTAACTATAGCAGCCATTTACACATAGAAAATAAGTCTTCGGGATAATTATTTTTTCTTTTAATTTATAATATGTAACATAAGTTTTAATTTAATATATGTTTCAAAAACACAGTATTTCTAAAAAATTTTCAAAAGTTGACTTTTGTATAAAAGTTACTATTTTGAATCCCCTTTGTGGGTGGATAACGAGTCAGAATTAAAAAAAAAAAATGATATCATATAAAAGGAAAATACTTAAGGTGTCTATATAAAAAAAATTAATTTTTTTGTATTTATTTTTAAAAAGTTATGACAGTTTTATAAGAAAAAATACCAAAATTTACTTATTTTAAAAATTGTAATTTTTGGCTGATTTTCTCAATTTACATGGAACGAAGAGAGTTTTTTCAATTTTTAAGGAAAATGTCTTCAAGTAGATACGATTTGTGATATTTTGACGTATGATTAAAAGAAATTGGTTTAATGAGAGCTGAGAAAAAGTGGCGAAAGATAAAAAAAACACACGTCATAATAAAATTAATTAATAAAATCATAGTAAAATATTGATACCTTCTCATAATTTTAACTTTAAAATATTTTAACATTACAAAAAATTATTGGTTGAGACTATAAAATATTTATATATTTAACAGCTTTATTTCTATAAGTGGGTTCAGACAATATATTGTTTTCTTGACGACATAAATAAAGAAGCTGTTGTATGATCTCAAAAATTTGTTTTGAAAGTCACTTTTGTTTGTCGTTTAATGAAATAGCCATCTAAAAAACGGTAGCTCTTTTATAAAAAAAAATTCTTGATCATTGAAATATTAATTTTGATGATAAAATATTAATATTAAAATTGGGATGAACTCTATTGAAAGATATAAAATAGTTGTGTAATAATATGTTTTATTTTAATTTAGATATTATTTTTTTAAATATATTTTAATGCTACTTATTAAAAATGTCTATTTTTGCAGCTTGACTTCTTAAGAATTTTATCAGACCATCAGTATTATACAGAATTAAATTTATTGAATAACAGTGATGATGAAATATTTTTAACTGATTTGTGTATTGAATATAAAAAAAAACATTATCTTTCTTCACTTGTACTTCAAGAATTTATCGAAGTATTAAAGTCTCCTTATAATGATTCAAAAGTCAAAGAAAAATCTACTGAGTTAATTATTTGGTTGCTTCAGAAACATGATTTGAAAATTGGAGATTCAAATGTAGCTATAGCTTGGCTTTATATTCCAATTTTAAGTGCTTTTTTAAAAGATAAAGTATTATTAGATGCACTTTTATCTCATGAAGATAAATCTGACGAAAAAGATTTTAATAGTAATGTTGATGATGACAATATTAAAAGAAGAAGCAGTCATAGAACAGTTTCATTTGAAGCAATATCATCATCAAATATTGCAAGTGTAAAAGCTGCAATAAAGTTTAAGTCAACATTTATATCAGAAAAGACAATAAAAAATATTTTAGCCACTATTTTGTGGATATTAAAAAATTCAGAAGAAGAAAATGCAGAAGATCTCAATAATGAACCTTTTACACAGTATTTAATTTCATTATCGCCATTATACTCTAACAATTTGTTGACTCTGATGAGTTTATGTGTTGAACATTTTAAGTATACTGCATATAATGATGGTAATATCAACATAAATTACAAGAAGAAAAATGCAGTTCCAAAGCTAAGTAAATCATTATCATTACATTGTCCCACTTCGTCTCCTAATGTGTCTTCTTATTCTTCATTACCTCTATCTTCAAATCAAAGTCAACCCAATTCAAGTACAGGAAATATGTCTATACCACCTTTAAAATCTGTCGACGATGTTAAATCACGTTTAGAAGATGTTATATTAGGACGCCAAGGAGCTAGAAACGACCTGATGGAGAGAAGAAAGTCTTCTACTAATTCAAATAGTAAAGTAAGATGGAATAAAGATCTTATGCATTATCATACTAATACATCTGCATCTGCATCTCAAAATGTTGTAAAACAATTTAATTACTGTAGTAAATCAAATAAATGTTCAGAAAAAATTAATTATGACTTATATATTGACAATATGCTTGCTAATGAAATAGGGTTTATTATTTTAAATATACTAGAAAAAGTCATAAAAGTGTCATCAAGAAATGCTAAGTTAAATATACAATTTTCAATGAATACTGTACCGAGTACTGTACGATTAGCTTTCAAAGTTTTATTAAAAGCCTTGAGAACATATCAATACCAGACATATCCAAGTAATTGTAATAAAGGTTCTTTTATTGGAGCATTAAAAAAAACTTTTGAAATAATAAGAACTACAGTAGCTCAATACCCAAGACTCTTATTTATTCATCGAGAGCAAAGTTATGAAGATGATGGAGATTCTGGTTGTGACTGTGAATTTATAGATAATAATGAATGTAATGATCTTTTACAAAAAACATGTCTAGTTATAATGCGCCATTTTTACATAACTGAAGGAAAATGTAGTTGCAACGAAGATACTATTTTAATGCAAGCTTCAGCCACATATTATTGGTTGATGAGAGTTAGTTATGAACTAGATAATGTAAGTATATATATATAAAAATACCATCATCATTTTCAATTTTAAAGTTTAGTTTCTTCAGTTTATTTTGAATTTCTTGTAGTTGAAAAATGTTTAATCAAATAATTTTAAACATTTATTTAACATATTTTACATATAAAATAACAATTTCACTTCATTAACACAGTAGTATAGAAATTATTTTATATCTTTTAGAACTTTGCACGTGTAAAAATGTACGGTGCATTAGCTTTAAGCTGTATTTTGGAAAAATCAGGAGTTGAAGATCAATGGTACTGTACAAATATAGATGCACAACGATATAAAGGCATAAAATTGGCATTACAAATTGTTATGAGATATGGTGAGAATGATGATATAAGTAGTTTCAATGAGGTTTCAACTACTCTAAATACAGTAACATTTAATGAACAGGTAAATTGAATTATATTTCACTATAATTAAATACTCAATAAATATTGTAATGTTTTAATTAAAGGTGAAAGAAAGTATAGACGGAATGTTTAAAGTTATTAAGTATATGAACAAAATATATGAAGTTATAAAACACAATAATTATGTAGGAGACACTTCGTTGATAATGAATCCATCACTTTTAATTTCATCTGAAGATTCACAAATGCTGTTAGAATTTATGTATTCTATAGCCTGTGGATACCAACAGGCATCCGCTTGCCTTATGCCTCAATTAAGATTGAGATGGTTAAAACGGATGGCAAATGTCCATGTTAAAGTAATAATTAATAAATTTAATTATAATCAGCTTAGTAATTTTTAAATTTTTCATAGAATGGAAATCATTGTGAAGCAGCAATGTGTTGTATAAGTGGAACTGCTCTTCTTTGTGAATATTTAAAGAGAAGTGATGATGGAAATCACAATCTATCTGTATATAAGGGTGCTGCTTGCTTAGAATATATTAGTCCAAATGTATTAGTAGAAGAAAGTGCTGTGTCTGATGATTTATTTATGGAAGAAAATAATGATTTGTATGAAATTTGTGAAAAAATATTATTAGAAGAACAAGTCGAGGGATCTACATCTTATTATTCATTACTAGATTTAATAACTATTGAATTACAAAAAGCTGTAGATTTTTTGTGGAAAGCCACTATGTATGAAAAAATGGCTAAGATTTATAACAAATTGCTAATACCATTAATAGAACTTGGTTATGGTAATAACACTAATGAAGATCTTGGTAGATATGAAAGATTGGCTGATGCTTATGGAAAATTAAAAGAAGCATATGTCAATTTAGACAAAAAAGAAAAAAAAACAAAACCTAGTAGTGAGACTTATAACGATTGCACTTATTTTAGAGTTGGAATTTATTACAATGGTATGAGTGATGTGGATGAAAGTAATAGTGAAAGTAATGAAGAATCCACTGATTTAGCATTTTGTGGCAAACAGTACATATATAAAGAACCACAACTAACTAAATTATCAGAAATTTTTGATAGACTACAGGTAAAAAATCTAGTGAAAGTTAGCTAAATATGATAAAAGATAATTATGAATATATTTAAATTTATTAAAAATAATTGTCTAAGGGTATAATGTTTGTTAAACAATTAAAACTTTAGCACCATTACTGTATTTGGATTGAGTTAATATTTCTTTAGTAAATTTAGTTAAAGTTAAAATGTTTGAATTCATTTTTTTTTTAAATTGTAGTACTGTGTCCTTATTAAACTAATACCATCTATCAGTTTTGTTTAAAAACAATTGGTCCAGTGAGAGCTTAGATTGAGTGTTCACAGACACAAAAAAAGACATCTTAATAAAATTAATATTTTCTCATCTTTGCGGTCTTTATTTTGTTTTCATAGTGAAAATAGATGTCAAAGTTAATAAAAAAAAATACGATTTTTGTAAAAAAATTATATTAATTTGTTCATTTAAAAAAAACTCAACACAGTTGGGACGTGGCATAGTTGTATCCAGTATACATGATATCTGACAGTGATTAAAATCACTATCATAAAAAACGATTCGATACAAATCTGTAGATAGTGTTTCATTTTAAATAATTGGTGGACTATTCCAAAAGCTATATGATCTCCTATTTCTTTATTTATATCCTGATTACAAATTTTATGATTTACAAGTATAATATATAAATATAAAGGGAAATGGTTTTATTTTAAAAAAATGTATGTCGAATGAAAGAGATAAATAGTACTTATCTAAAAATATTATAATCCATACATTTTTCAAAAAGTAATAGCGTTATAAAATTAAATATATAAAAAAGAATTTTTTTACAAAAATCATATTTTTTTATTAACTCAGATATCTATTTTCACTATGAAAACAAAATAAAGTATGAAATTTTTTTTTTCCCATAATAAATTATATTACATTAGCTTTAATTTAAGATATATATAAAAGTGTCAGTATTTCCGGAACATTTTCAAAAATTAATTTTTTGAGAAAAAGTTATCATTTTGAAAAAGTTATGGAGTTTTAAGTAAAAAAAAATTGAAAAAATTTCAAAAATTAGCTATTTTTAAATTTGTAATTTTTTTGGAAATTTCCCCCATTTACGGGGAACAAGAGAAATTGTTTTAATTTTTGAGGGTAATGTATTATAGACTAGATACGATTTGTAATATTTTGAAGTATATTTGAAAGAAATCAGTTCGGTGAGAGCTGAGAATAAGTGGTAACAGAAAAAAAAAAAAAAATCACATCATAGTAAAATTAATACCTTCTCAGCTCCGCATCAAAGCTATAATAATTTATTGTTTAAGTATTATATATTTTTTTAATAAAATATTACATAACTGATTAATTTCACTAAATTTTTTTTTTTTTTTTTTAATATAGTCACATTATTCAGAAAAGTATGGAGCTGAAAATGTTATTGCAGTTAAGCATTCAAATAGAATTTCAGGAGAATCAATTGATAATAAAAAAAAAGTTTACATTCAAATAACTTATGTGGAACCTTGTACTGCTCCATCTTTAAGATTAGCATCTCATAGTATTTATTCTAACAAAAATAATGAAGATGTTGAAAATATTAGTTAGTCTAAAAGCTTTATACTTTTTTAGGTATACATAATATAATAATAATATTTGAATAAAATATGATTTTAGAACGATTTGTTTATTCAACACCATTTACATTAGATGATGATGGTCGCACTCATGCTTGTCAATTAAGAGACCAATATAAAAGGAAAACTTTGTTAACAACAGAACGTAGTTTTCCTTACATACTTACTCGAATACCTGTAATGAAGAGCAGTACTAACATGGCCATAAGCCGTAATGTCACTCCTAGTAGAAGGTCTGTAGAACATAATTGTGGAGATAATATGGAAGTAGTGGTAATGCAGCCTATAGAAGTAGCTATTGAAGACTTGCAAAAAAAGACTCAAGAGTTGTCTAGGAGTATTAATCAGTCACCTGCAGATGCAAAAATGTTACAAATGGTATTGCAGGGATGTATAGGTAAATAAATTAAGAACTTATTAACATAGTAACACGGAAACTGAGGAAAATATATCTAGTAGACTAGATCAAATCCAGGATTTTTCGCTATTCGGGTAATAACTTTTCCACTAAGCTACCCAAATCTCTAACTTTCGAGTCTCTTTTGTTTAAAGTAATTTTATTTTATTTTGACCATATTTTAATGAGTTAATGTAAAATTTTGTTTGTTAAATATTTAATATTTTTACATATTATGTAAAAAATATATTTCATAAATCATCATGAACTAGTACAATTTCAAATAGAATCCCTCATGTTTAGTATCAGGGTGTTAATATCTTTATATTTGTGTTTACTATCCTATGATATTTTCTTCTGATTATTAACTATTATATCTTTATTTATATATATAATTATAAACTATATAATTATTTATTATATTTTGTGTACTAATAGGTACTACGGTAAATTGTGGTCCAATGGAAATGGCTACAGTATTTTTATCCCAACAACAAAATTTAAGTAGTCAAAATTCTAAAACAATTACAAGACTCCGAAATAAATTAAGATTATGCTTTAAAAATTTTTCAAAAAAGTAAGTTTTTTTTTATATTTTTTTAGTTATTATTAAAATTATTTGTTATTACGATTACTAATTAAATTTTATATATGTAAACAAAAATAATTTGTGTTTCAATCTGATACATTAAAAATTTTTATTTATTTTTACTAATTTTTAACAAAAATTAAAAATTTAAGAAATAAATTTAAAGATATTAAAAATACTTAACTCTAAAAGTTACAAAAATATTCTCAAAAAAAAATACTTTATAGTATTTTAAAATTTATGTTATCACCATAAATTAATTTACTAGCTAAACATTAATATAACAGTTCAGTCTTTATTATCTTTTTTCTTTTATACGAAATTAAATATTTTCTATTTTAGATAGGGTACATATTTTTATACTACTAATGGGTTAATTGTATGCTTATAAATATTTCTAGATGTGCTGATGCATTAGAAAAAAATCGTGGACTCATTGGGCCTGATCAACGCCAGTATCAACAAGAATTGGAACGAAACTATACACGTTTTTCAGAGCAATTAGCACCATTATTGATTAGTAGTTATAATAATGGACAGTAAAGCGATTTTTTTTTAATTTATTCAAGAGTGACTTTTGTGTACACTATTTGTAAAATTTATTTCAAAAATACCAGTTATTTTTAAAATATTTTTGAATTATTACCAATTTTTTAAAACTATTTTTACTTTTATAATTTTTAACAAATATCAACTTTGAGTGTTATTTATTTCTTAAAAATGTGTATAAATAAGAAGAATTATTGATCAATTCTAAATTTGTGCAATGTTTAAAATGTTTACTAAATAATTGAACTCATTCACGTTCACTTTCATTTTTTTATCAAATGTAATGTATACATTCATTAATATAACAAATCAATTCAGATAAATTTATATTTCTGCAAGAAATATAGAAGTCATATATTTAGTGGTGTAATTGAGGTTTGTAATAGAAGAGTATAAATAAGAAAAAATTTTAATACAATATAACCAAAAAATGTTGTATCTTTATTTAATGTATGTAAATATTTTTGTTCTTGGAAGTTCTATATGCCTAATTCCCTTAAAATAAAAATAGTATCCGCTCTATTCTCTAGTAATTACTTAAAATTTTTAATAATTTCAGAATTATTGATTTAAACATTTTTTTTGATCAGCCATTTTTTTAATTGAATCATTATCTAATATGTTAAAGCTGATTAATTGTGTATGTTCCCATTAGGAAAAATAAAGTATGCAGTTTTATAACGACATAAAAAATACCTCATTATTGATAAATTTAAAAAAACATAATTAAAATAACATCAAAAAAACTTATCAATGTTTTTTATTTTTCTATTAAATAAATAGTTCATAAAAAATAACCATCTTGCATAACAGGGGCGTATTTATGGGGGTACATGAATTCCTTCTCCACTCCAAAAGTCCTAGTAGGCGCTTAATATACAGGTAACCCTTCAAGTTTTGATATCTTTAATAACTTAATGTTCAGCGAATATTTTGTGTTATTTTTTTCACTAATTTGTATAGTTTTTGTGGTAATTAAAACAATAACTAAGCAATTCGTTTTATAAGTAATGTTTTTTATTAATTAACAATTGTACAAAAATAATAAAATACTCTAAGGTACACAATAAGAGTATGTAACACGTCGCAATCAGGGAACCGAAACTCGAAGTTCTACTAATAAAAAGTGAAAAAAGCCATTCCAGCATTAAATTTATCTTCTCGTTGGTTTTTGTACAGTAGAGGGTTGCGGCATAGTTGAGACAATCATTGATATTTGACAGTAATTAACATCACTACCATAAAAAATACTTTGATCGGAATCTTTTACAATTTGTATGATTTAAAATTTCACTTGAATATTAAATGCTTGTTAGTTGATATGTTTATTTGAGTATAACATTATTATTTAGCTTTGACGGCCGATTTCTCACAGTAGAACAATGAATTGAACAATTTTTTTTAATAATGTAGTTAACTTTAAAATCTTTAATTTGATAAAGGTTAGAAATTGTCAGACCTTACGAAACATTTTCATAATTTGTAACGCAAAAATATTTAAAACAGACTTTTGAATTGTCTAATAGACGAATGAATTTAACATTGTAAAAACTAATAATTTAGTTAAAATATAATATTATTATACTATAAATACAGTACATTAATACTTCAATTTTTATGTGTTCTTTGTAGTCATTGAACTATGTATATTGTATATTAAATTCATATATTTTGAGCATAACTTTTATAGTTGAAATGTTATAATATATAGGGACAATGGTAAAACCAAATATTTTAGCAGGACTAATTGACCTGGGATATCATTTTTCCTACGAAAACAGTAAGTTTTAGGGGTACTGTATATTTTATAAAAACATTTTTGGTAATTGATATCGAGATAAATTTTTCTACGTATGAGTCTCCTTAAATCCGAACACTATTTCCGCATATGCCTGTATGTATAAAGTTGTTCATAATAATAATAATATGGACAACTAACTGTATTAAAAAGGAAAGGGCTACTTCAATCACAGACCTCAGTTATGGTCTATGATCTCAATATTGTTATCAGTAAAAAGTATTTTTATATTATGATAATTTGATAATACCGAACTTTGATAACAGAAATCCTTTCATTTTTATTAGTACATGTGCGGATTGTTACAGTAATATTATACTTATTTGAAAGGATTATTGATTTAAGTTTGACTAATTTTAGTTATTCTGCATTACAGCTACAAAAATTCGAATATAACTTTTGATGAGATGGATGATTATAAGTAAGTAATATTAGTAGTTTTATAAATTATTTGCCTTGGTTGTGTCAATCAATGTTGTGAATAACATCATTTATATTTTTAAATTTTATTTCAGTAAATTAATCAAGACTAATAATCCGATGACTGATGAAGAACGCAAAGAACTTGCAAGTCGTCTTGACAAAGATTTAGATAATTTCATTGATAATTTAGAACAGAAACCTTATAAAGATGGCTGGGACGAATCTAATTGGCGAGAAGTAAATATTAAAACTATGTTTATTTAGTCTATTACAGTAATTTATCTCTAATAATAAAATAAAAATTTTGTAATCTGTAACTAATAACTTTAAGAATTTTATGGTAATACCCTAATGTTGAAATATCAATGTATACATTTTGTTATAGTTTGCTCTAATATTAAAAAATATTTTTGTCTTTAGTGATTTATTATTCTAGTTAATTATTTTAAGTTAATTCATATTTTAGGAAATGGATAAACATCCTTTTTTTATGACAAAACCACCTGATCCAACAGAAGAACCCTCACCACTTGTTGAAGGTTTACAAAATTTACGTTATGATCCGGATGATAATACTTCAGAAGAACTAGCTGATAAACACAAAGAAGATGGAAATTTTAATTTTAAGTGTAAAAAATATAAATTTGCAATTATGTGTTATCAAGAAGGTCTTAGACTAGAGTTTGAAAATAATCAGCTCCGTGCCCAAATGTATAATAATATGTCTGCATCTCATTACTTTTTAAAAAATTACAGGTAGTTGGATTTTTTTTATTTATAAAAACAATTCTCAATATACAGGGTGATTTTTTTTATCATAACCCACTCAATTACTTACAGAATAATAATAATTAAAAATTTTTTTTTTATTATTATCTTTGGTTACACATTATTCTTGAATTATTAACTATGTTATACTTTTTAAGTTCATCCCTTATGCCTGGTAAGGGTGTCAACTTTGTTTTTTTAGATGGTCACACATATTTATAATTTAATAAAATTTTTGAGTTTTTAATTCAATAATAAATGGCATTTGAATTTTTAATAAAACTTAATTTGTTTATTAGATATAAACATTTAAAGTTTCAAATTTTCGAGTTAATATATAGGTATAATACACAAGGGATTACAAATACAGGTAGCTAATTGATTTTTTATGACATCGATATTAGCAGGTACACAGCATTGTTATTATCAATGATAGTAAGGTACATTGTTGTGAGTTTATAAATACACTAACTGACAATACAAAAAGTATATCTATTGATAGTCATAATTGATGGTAAACAATCCTTGCTATCACAGCAGTTAGTGTATTTATAAACTCACAACAATGTACTTTACTATCATTGATAATAACAATGCTGTGTACCTGCTAATATCGATGTCATAAAAAACCAATTAGCTACCTGTATTTGTAATCCCTTGTGTATTATACCTATATATTAACTCGAAAATTTGAAACTTTAAATGTTTATATCTAATAAACAAATTAAGTTTTATTAAAAATTCAAATGCCATTTATTATTGAATTAAAAACTCAAAAATTTTATTAAATTAAAAATATGTGTGACCATCTAAAAAAACAAAGTTGACACTCTTACCAGGCATAAGGGATGAACTTAAAAAGTATAACATAGTTAATAATTCAAGAATAATGTGTAACTAAAGATAATAATAAAAAAAATCCAGCACAGGGGGGTCGCGACACAGTTGTGACGTGGTATAGTTGGGTCAAGTATAATGATATCTGACAGTGATTAAAATCACTATCAAAAATAAACGCTTCGATGCAAATCTTTAGATAGTGTTTAATTTTAAAAAAATTGGTGTTTTATTCCAAAAGCTACTTGAT